TGGTGGGGGGGGGATTTTTGGCCGTAGAGGTGACTGATGCTCTCTTTTCAGCAAGCTGCAATGAAAAATTGGGTGTATTTGCCTGAGATTTTTGGGTAATTCTAATTCTACTGTTACTGGATTTATGATTCTTTTAATTGGAAAAGGTCCTATGTATTTTGGTCCAAGTTTTTTACAGGGCTGTAGGGACTTTAGGTATTTTGTAGATAAGTACACCATCTCTCCTATAATGAATGGTGTAGGCTCAACCCTTTTTTTATCGGCTTGTGTTTTGTAAGCCTGCCTAGCTTCATCTAGTGCTTTTCTGACTATTGGCCAGGTGTTTTGTAATTTTTCCATCCATTCTTTCAGCGAGGGGATCGTTGGTTCGTTTGGGGTTAATTCTGGCATGGGGTTGAAGCTTTGACCGGTGGCTATTTGAAAAGGAGTGTAACCTGTGCTGGAGTGGACTGCATTATTGTAGGCAACTTCTGCAAAGGGGAGTAAGTCCGCCCACTCGGTCTGCTGGAAACTAAGAAAACATCTTAAATATTGCTTAAGTACTGAGTTCATTTTTTCAGCCCCCCCATTTCCTTGAGGGTGGTGGCTAGATGTCAGTCCCTGAGTGGTTCCTAAGAGGGATAAAAATTCCTTCCAAAATGCAGACGTAAATTGCACCCCCCTGTCAGCGATGATGCGTTGGGGTGCCCCATGCAATCTGTAAATGTGTTGGATGAAAAGTTTTGCTAAGGCTTTTGCAGTGGGAATCTTTTGGCAAGGGATAAAGTGCACCTGTTTGGAAAACAAGTCTGTGACCGTCCAGACCACAGTATTCCCATTGCTTTCTGGCAATTCCACTATAAAATCCATGGCTATTTCTCTCCAGGGGGCTGAGGGACTTGCCACTGTTTGCAATAGTCCTGGCACTTTCCCTTGCAACCTCTTTGCCGTGGCACATTTTGGACAACTGGCTATATAACTTTCAATGTCCTTTTTCATGGATGGCCACCAAAATTGCCGTTTAATTAAATGTAAAGTTTTTACAAATCCAAAATGCCCTGCTGATTTTGTGTCATGGCAAAGGTGCATGAAAGTTACTCTTTGAGTTGTTGGTATATATAACTTTTCCCCTATCCAAGGCAACCCGTCTTTCATTGTGCACACATTTTTGTTTTTCTGGAACCAATCATCTGTTTCCAAACTTTTTCTGAATTCAATTCCAGTTTGGCTGTCCAGTTGTGGTTTTAATTTGGCTTGGGTTCTTGTGGTTACTGGTGCTGCCAGTTGTGACTCTGCCATTATTGGTCTAGAGTCTGTGGTTCGTGCGCTGTTATATTGGGGCATGCGAGATAGTGCATCTGCCAGGAAGTTCTTTCTTCCTGGTAAATGTTTGAGCTTAAATTGGAATTGGTGAAAATGCTGGGACCAGCGGGCTTGTTTGGGATTGAGTTTCCTGGAAGTTTTCAGGGCTTCCAAATTTTTGTGATCAGTCCACACCTGGAAGGGGATTTTGTTGCCTTCCAGGAACTGTCGCCATGTGAGTAATGCCCAACGTATCCCATAAGCCTCCTTCTCCCATACGGGCCAGCGCTGTTCTGTTTCCGTGAGTTTCTTGGATGTATATGCACAGGGTTGCAATACTGCATCATCATTTTCTTGTAATAGCACAGCCCCCACTGCCACATCACTTGCATCTGCCTGTATTATGAAGGGTTTGTCCATGTCTGGGTGCCTTAGTACTGGTTCGGCAGAAAAAAGTCTCTTTAGTCTCTCAAACGCTGCTTGGCACTCCATTGTCCATGTTAGTGGCTGGCTAGGTTTTACTGAGGATGTTCCCTTCGTTTTTAGTAAGTTAGTGAGGGGCAAGGCTATCTGTGCAAATGAGGGGATGAATTGGCGGTAAAAATTTGCAAAGCCCAGGAAACTTTGTAGTTGCTTTCTTGTGCGGGGTGGTGCCCATTCTAATACTGCTCTGACCTTCTCTGGGTCCATTTCAATGCCCTGTGGGGATATGCGATAGCCTAGGTAGTCTATCCTTTCCTGGTGGAATTCGCATTTTGAGAGTTTGGCATATAGGTGAGCGGCTCGCAGCTTCTTTAAAACCGCTCTGACAAGTTTGACGTGTTCTTCTTTTGTTTCGGTAAAGATAAGAATGTCGTCCAAGTAAACAAGGACCCCCTTAAACAGGTGCTCCCTTAGAACGTCATTGATTAATTGCATAAAGACTGCAGGGCCCCCTTGTAATCCAAATGGCAAGACTTTGAATTGATAGCACCCCATGGGGCAGTTAAATGCAGTCTTCCATTCGTTCCCCTTCCTTGATTCTCACGCGATAGTAAGCTTCCCTTAAGTCTAGTTTAGAAAAAATTTTCCCTTTCGATAGGTGTGACAGCATGTCTTTCATGAGGGGCAGCGGGTATAGGTTGCTTTCACTGATTGTGTTCAGGGCCCTATAATCCACGCATAAACGTAAAGAGCCATCCTTCTTCTCTCTAAAAAGGACCGGGGCAGCCACTTTAGGCTTAGCTGGTTCAATGAAACCTCTCTCCAGGTTTTTTTTTATAAATCTTTCCATTTCCTCCTTCTCCTTTGGGCTCATGGAGTATAATCTGGGCTTCGGGAGTTTTGCCCCAGGCTTGAATTCAATGGTACAGTCTGTGGGTCGGTGGGGGGGAAGCTCATTCGCCCTCTCCTCACTGAAGACTTCAGCAAGGTCCCTATATTCCTCTGGTATTTCTGTTAATCTTTTTTCCTCTCCTATGGATGCTTTTTCTATTCTTGATTCTGGTAGCCTCCCTTGGGGTTTTAAGTCCATAGGGTCCCCCTTCGGGAATTTGATTTCTGTCGTCCTCCAATTTACCCAGGGGTTCCATTTTTTCAACCATTCCATCCCTAGAATCATTGGGCATTCCATACCTGGGGTCACCACAAACGTTAAGTCCTCTTCATGGTTGCCCAGGGAGAGGTGTATTGGCAGAGTGGCTAGGGTAGCTGGCACCCCCCCTGCTATGGATCCATCTAGCTGGCCAAATGAGATTGGTTGTTCCAGTCTCCTGGATGGGATGCCCAGATTCCCCACTAGTGTTGGGCTAATGAGGCAGCGGGTGCAGCCAGAGTCTATTAAGGCTTTCACCTTCACAGCTTCGGGCATGGGGGGGATTAATATAGTCACTGTTTTGAAGATGGGTGTGATGCGTCCACTTACCAGGGGTTCGCCCTCCGAGCTGTCATCTGAGGCATCCACTGGCCCTGTGGTGTAGGCTGGAGTTCTTTCCCCTTGGTGTGCAGAGGTGGGGGTTTCTGCAATTTCCATCATTCTCATGGCTGTTTCTTTTGGCTTAGCTGAATACTTTCCGGTTTTGTTGATTGGGGATCTGTCTGGGTTGTGCTGGGGGGCCTTTGAGCGGCATTCTACAGCTCGATGCCCTTCTCTTCCGCACTTGAAACACCCCATTTGCTTCTTGGCTGTATCCGATGATTTCACCGGTTGGTGTGTCAGCTCAGGCGGGGGGCGGCTCCATTGTTTTCCTCGGCGGTGCCTCTTCAATATGTCGATCTCTGCTTCCTCTGCCAAGACGTACCATTCCTCAAGTCGATGTGGGTCCCCTCGGGGCAGGCAAGCATCATATAGATCATAGTTTAGTCCGTCTTTGAAATGGCAAGGAGGATGTCTTCTGGCCAATTCAGTTTGCTGGCAATGGCCCGGAATTCTTGTGTATACTCAGCCACTGGGCGTTTGCCTGCCTCATCGTTGTTATTCTTTCACGGGCTTTGCGATCAGCCAGGGGGTCTTCAAATCGTCTTCTCAAAGAGGACATGAAACGGTTGAAGTTACTGAGTTCTGGGGCATTGGAGTCATGCAAGTTCACTACCCAATCCGCAGCTGGTCCATCCAGGGCAGATTGCACGATCCGGATGCGGGCTTTGTCGCTGGGAATATCCTGCCCATATTCCTCCATGTAGCTGAGGACTTGGGTTAGGAAAAACCCCAAGCGTGTTGGCTCCCCTTTGAATTTCACTTCCAACGGTGGACGTCTTGGAATGGATCAGTGTCTCTGTTGTGGGTGGTAGTGTCTTCCGTCCAGATTGCCATCTGTGGTCCAGTAGGGGGTGGGGGCTACTGGATCAGTAGCTGTCCCCAGGGTTGCAGGTTCCACGTCCCCCTCGGTGTTTCTTCCTTTGCGGCTCAAGGAGGTGGGGCGGCCGTAGGGCTCAGGATTCTCCTCTCCTAGGGAGCTGAGAGTTCTCTTCATCAGGTCAATAGCTTTCTCTAGGATCCAGTCTGAGTACGGTGCCCAGCTTCCTCCCTCTTCACTTGCGTGCAGGGATTTCTCCATCTCCTGCTTCCATTCTGGTTGCTTGGTCCCCCGTCTCAGGGTCACCTTTCTTGATTCCTTTCCCCACTCACTTTTCTTTCCAACGCCCATCGACCAGCGAGGCTTGTGGTCCTGTGTCTCCACCACTTCTTCTCCTGAGGAATCTGGCCTCTCGGATCCCAACATATGGCAAGGTTCCAGCTGGGTCAGCGGCTCTCTTTCCAGGGAGTTTTCCCCCTCTCTTGCTCCATTGTCTGACATGGTAAATTTTTGCAAAATCCCCCGGCAAGGGTCTCCCTTCCAGGTGGATTAATTTTGCAAGTCCTGTCTAATGTAAGGACCCACCCCACTTTGCATCTTAAGAAGACAGAACTCTTGGAATAATTCTTCCAACAGGAATCCTTTATTAAGAGAAAATGGTTGCAGGCATGCTAGACAGGACTTGGGGTCCAAGCTCTCCCATTCAAGGTTTTAAGGGGTTCCCCAGTAGTCCCACCCAATCAACCCCCCTTCCAGTGATAGTTTCAAGTATCACGATTCCACTCCCTTTCTTCTTTCTTCCGTCTGGATGGAGACTTCAGATAACTACATGAAAGGCAATTTCCCTCCTTTGGTATGTTAACGCTTCGAGGTTACAATAAACACACATTCAGCATTCAGCTCTTTGAAGTGTAAAGAAGGAAGTGAGGGCCATAAAGCCCCTTTGTTCTCCCCCTTCTCTCCCTCTTATGGCAGAATCCAGAGAAGGCAGAATTGGGAGTTTCTATATTTGATAATTTAAAGATGAAATATAATTGGATTCTGACACCCAGAGCAAAGAGTAATATGGGCCGTTTAGAATCTTAGCCTGCAAATTTCCTGGGCAAATGTGAGTTATCCAATATGTAATATCCAATATTTGCTTAATATGGTTTATTGAATAGACTACAATTGACTGATTTCATAGAACATACTAGATCATAAATCCTGGTTTACAAATCACACTGGCTCAATTCATACAACACACTAAATCACAAGCAAGTAAATCATATTTTGCCTTAGCGTGTTGTGTGAACTCTACCCATGATAAACTCAGCTGATTACGAGCAATCTATGCCTCCCTACTGCAGATGGCCTATGGACACCAGGCTCAGGTAAGAATCACAGTGTGGCTGGTAGAAACACCTGAAAGAGCAGTGCAAAAATGAAGGAGGGAAGTCAGGAGATTATCCCACAGTCTTTTGCTTTCATTGCTCATAAATGGTGACTATGTCTTATACATAACACTGGAAACTGGAGTCTTTCCAACCACTCTTTCTATGTGCTGAGAATATCTTACATAGCTATCATCTTGATTTTGCCCTGAATACCATCCTGTTCCATTCTGAATGGACATAAAAGCTATCAATTCTCAGAATTCTAACCAACAGCCATGCTGGCTAGGCATATCTAGACCTTGGTGGCATCTGATAGGAAGAATTTGCCTTATGGAACTAAAAGCTCAGGGAGCAGATGGGAAAATGGGAGAGAGGAAAGAGTTCTCCTTTTCCTGAAGCTCATGATGAAGCTCTTCCATTTCAGGTTGGTGAAAGTGTAGTGTTGAATTAAAAAAAAAAAAAAAAGATTTCCCATGGATGTCTTTGAATCAAAGACACAAAGAATCGGCCTTTTTTTTTTAAAAAAAATCCACAAATATATCACATCATGCTATTGTAGGTATCATGCTAGTTTGCATGAGCAGATAATCAAGGCAGATCATTTGTTTCAATGGTGGAGTGGTCAGATCCTAAGAATAGCCCGACTGGGGATGGGCAAGAATTAGCCTTGGAGGGGCTCTACTGATTTTGCATGGGTTTTTCTCCATGAAAACAGGGGCAGCCCATCTTTTTAGTTCAGGGGTCTTCAAACTTGGCAACTTTAAGACTTGTGGACTTCAACTCCCAGAATTCTGGGAGTTGAAGTCCACAAGTCTTAAAGTTGCCAAGTTTGAAGACCCCTGTTCTAGTTAGAAACATTTCCAGCAATTGTTTTGAATGCTTCCAGCTTGCACTAAAGTGCTAAACTGTTAAGAATAAACCTGTATATTGGGGTGTGGGTTTTTTTTTTTGTTTTTTGCCTGGATCTGGGGCTTAAAATGGGTTAGGCAGCCTGCAGTAATTATAACTGTAACCATGTTCTCCTTTCAGATATATGTGGACTTGAGAGCATGAATCTACATGAGAAAGGGACACAAAGACTGGTGAAAGACTCTGTGGAGCTTGTTACTCTTCCTTTATAGACTTCAAATTACAAAGCTTTTACTTATTACTGTAAGATGAGCATTTCAAAAAACCAAATATCCACATTTGGTCTCAGGGTAGCAAAGAACACCCATGAATGAGACAGAGAGAAGCCGAGAGAAGGCTAATAGCAATGAGATCTTAGACAGGTCCCAGATATTTAGCCTTTTCTCACATTGACCCTAGCATCTATCCATAATCGGTCATGCCATGTTTGGATAGAACTCTAGCTTTCTCTCATCACCTTGTGCTTCTAATAAAGCCAATCCTTTTTCAGGTATTTTTCTTTCTTTCAGCCCAATCAACTCTGGACCTTCAGTTTTCTTTGCATGGAAGAAAAGGGATTACCCATTTCCCCCTTGTTCCAGATTGCCAGGAATAATCCATTTCTAAAACCAAAATTAATTATTTGGGGGTATTATACTAGCTCCCTGTTAGGTTCAGCCTTATGGGTTTCAAGCACCGAAAATAAGTTTCCACCAGTCCTTCCCATTCCACCTTTCTACTTAACCTGCCCATCCCAGCAGCAGCCATCTCTGCCATAATGCCAAATGCCATTTGTAAGTGCCAACTGCACATATTTATATGCTGGAGCAAATGGCATCAGGGCCCATTCTGCTGCACAGCTATGTGCATGCACGTTTCATCCTGTGAACTGTTTTTGTTGCAAACCCAGATGGCATGAAAATGAACATGAAAATGAGCAACGTTGATGAGTTCAGTTCCTATTACACCCCATGTCTACTGGGCAATGCAGAGTTCACAGAGTCAGTGGGTAGATTTATAGCAATCAAATATATTTTTTTTTTCCTTTCTGCACCAGTCAGGCCACAAATATCTCAGATCTATTTTTCCTACCTGGTGAGCAAATCCTCAGCGACTCGGCTAAAAGGATGGAGATATAATGGAGCTATCGCATGATAAGCGTAGGTTTCGCATGAAAGGTTCTTCCCTGTTGCTGTTGACAGCTGCATAAAACAGGGGCTATATACGGACAAAGAATGAGCGAGGAGAAGAAATCAAATTAGAGTTTAGATAGTTAGGACAGTGGAAAGCCAGTGGAAAACTTGCTCTAAAGCCTTTTCATGGAAGCCATCTAAGTTAGTTATTGGATGCTTGGCAATAGCTCCAGACTGTCCTTCAGATCATAGATCATCTGTTCCCTCTTTCTGTGCAATAGTGCAAATGCCCAGTGAGGGAGAGAGGGAGGATGGGGGGGGAGGGGAGTGACTTTGCAATGCCATGGCTAAGTTGTGCCTATTGCACACATCAAAGACAGATCCGACTTACTGCACAATACACCTGGCACAAGGCGGGAAGCCGCCGGTACCTGTCAAAACATTTTTACCCTACATTGTGTGTGTATGTGTGTGTGTATGCGTGCGTGCATGTGTAGTGTAGTGTCATGTCATTGTCAAGTTTAAACAGATGGCTCTAGCCTGGCTGAAGAAATGAAGGCAAAGAAAAAGAAGAAGAGCGGGGCTGAATGGGTGGAGGAGGAAAGAGTTCTGTTTCCCCAAGATCTTCTTTGCCCCACTCACTGTTGGGCCTGAGCAACCTGGACGGGCCTCATCCAGGTACCCAGCTTTGATTGTTGGGCTGTGGGGCACTGGGCAAAGGGGCCATATTGAGACCGTTTTGTGGCGGAAGAGCCGAGTCAAAGTTGAAGTCCATCTCATCACTGTCCATGAAGTCATTGAGAATGATGGACTCCACATCACATTCCAAGCTCCCATTGAACATGTCCAAGTCTAGATCTGCTGGGAATCTGTCCTGACTCAACACAGGGGTGTGCATGGCTTCTGGGTAAGGTCCCTGCAAGGAATCTAGCAAGCTCATGTGCGCCCCCTGGTTGTTGACGTAGGAATGAAGATGCCCGTGGTGAGACATGTTCACCATGCTGCAAGTGTCACTGGGCAGGCTCATAAGGCTGATCGGAGAGGGTAAGGCACTGTTGTTAAGAGGAGGGTGGTGGCCAGCTGGTGATGGGTGGTATAACGTGTTGCTCTTCATGAGAGAAGACGAGTGGGGAGGGTAGGGAATCAAGCCTATCTCTCCGCCTCCACCCCCACCACTACATACTAGGGCATTTTGTCTGTGGCCACGAGGCAGGCCCATGCTGTTGGCTGCTGGCAGGTGTGGCTCGCCCTCCTTGTGCGCGTAGGAAATGGAGGAGAGCAGGTCCTGCAATGAGGCATTGCGGTAAGCATTCATGGGAACAAAAGTGGCCTGCTTGTTCTCTTGGATGGTCTGCATGGGCAAACGGCGCATGATGCTCATGGCGGGTTGGCTATAAATAGTCCCAGAGTAGGTATTACCGCCTCCTCCCCCTCCCCCACCTCCTGTACCCACTGAGGAGCACTTGGAGCTGAAGCCAAAGTTGGAGGTCCTGGGTCGGAGTCCTCCAGCAGAAAGCGGCTGGGCTGGGCTCATGCTGTAGTTGTCCTGCAGGTCATCTAGAAGACTCTCTCCCAGGCTCTCATTCAGGTTGATGGTGCCGGTGAGATCAGTCAGCCTGGGCATCTCCACTGAACAGCGGGCATTCAGGGAGGGGGACAAGGTGCTAGAAGGGCTGGGGTACATCAGTGGGGAGGATGGGGTCCCATCATCCTCCTCCAGGTCATCTGGCTCATGGTTGGCCATGATGGGCGAGAGGCGGCTACTCAGTGTGCTGGCCGAGGAGTTGGCCCGTGTCCGGAAGTCAGCCCAAGCATCGTATTCCTCACTGGCATGGGATGTGGGACTCTCTGACCATTTGGCCTGCTGGCTAGCTGGGCTTTCTTCTCCTCGTTCCTGAGCAGTCTGGATCTGCTTTTTCCGACTGGCTTTGCCCTTGATCCGCAGGAACTTGCTGTTGTTGTCCATGGAGACGGCTCGTCGGCGGGGCGTCTTCCCAGTTTTGCCACCTTCGGGGTTCAGCATCCACCAAGAGCTTTTGCCAGTGCCTTCATTTTGCACACGGATGAAGCGGGTGTGCAGGGACAGGTTGTGCCGGATTGAATTCTGCAAGCAAAACAAGACCAAAAGAAGAAAAAATTGTATCAGCCATCACGTCTCTCACTTGGCATTCTTTCTGCTTTCTACCATCCCCCAAAGCCACCCATCACCTGGCTTTACCGCTGACATTCACCAAGCTTTTTCAGCTCTGCTTGGGGTTAACAGAATGCCCCACTTTTCTCAGATCAAGAGACACATTTGGGATTTAAACAGCACACTCCTCAAAATGGGGAGTGCCAAGACAAAGAAGGGTCAGGATAAAAAATAAATAAATCAGATATAAACTTAATTAGCATCTAATTAACTAAATTAAATATTCAGTTAACATGATTATCCTGAAGTCTCCTTGAAGTCAAGCTCAACTCCTGAGGACTTCATGGAGATATCCCTGTCATGTTCTTGGAAACAGTCAATATGATTGTGAACATGATCTTTTCCTGCAACATTGTTACATTTTTCATTTTTGTTGCATCGAAAAGTAGAGCTGAGTGATAACCTTTGGAAGGTCTCCATGAATCTTGCCCAAGGTTCTTGGGAGGCACATGAAATTCTGGTCCTTAGCCAATTGAAATGAAGATGCAATACATATGAGAGAACCTTTTTAGTACAGTGCTTAAGACACAGGCTAGAAACCAAGAGACTGCAAGCTGTAGTCCTATCTTAGGCATGAAAGGTGGCTGGAAGATTTTGGGCCAATCGCCAGGAGACTGTGAGTTCTAGTCCTGCCTTAGACATAAGAGTTGGCTGAGTGACTTTGGGCCAGTCATCAGATGACTATAAGTTCTAGTCAGTGGTAGAATTCAGCCAGTTCGCACCACTTTGGCAGAACCTGTAGCTAATTTTTTGTTACCTGGGCCCAGAAGTGGCATCCACACAGAGAAATGATTGTTCACATATTTGAATCCCATCACTAGTTCTGGTCCCATCCTAGGCATGAAAGTCAGCTGGGTGACTTTGTGCCAATCACCAGGAGACTGTGAGTTCTAGTCCCACCTTAGGCATGAAAGCCAACTGGGTGAGTTTAAGTCAATCATTCTTTTTTCACCCCAACTCACTCCCAGGGTTGCTATTGTGGGAAAAGTAAGAAGAAGGAGTATTACGTATGTTTGCCCCCTTGAGTTATTTATAAAAATAATAAAGGCAAGACAGAAGTAAATAAATAAAACAAACATCAGTTAGCAAGGAAGACAAACAACAAGTGTCTAGAAACATTGGCTACGCCAGACATGTACCAACCTTCTTTATGCAACTCTACTTGCTTGAAAAGAGAAGATTCAATGTCAGATGATTCTGAGCATTTGGGAAGTTAATAAGCTGGCTATGGAAGGATAACTGTTTTCAGATCTTTCCCCAGGGTTAAAAATATGGAGAGAGCCAGCTCTGTTTCTCAACCTAAGTTGCCATGCTAAGATTGTTTGGTGTATAGAATAAAATAAAATAAAATAGCCATGAATTTGGCATGCTGAGCTTTTTTTTAGAAAGGGCAGAATATAAATAAAGTCACTGACCCAAGCCTCTCCTTGAGGGAGAGAGTTGGTCTAGCAACATGAATTATAAAAAAGAAAAGAAAATTGAATATAAATTTCTCAAGAGTCTTTATGATGAATCCTTCACTTCACTTCATCCCACAGTTTTTTCCATCTCGTTAGGGGAATATTTAGTGAGAAATAAGGGGATCAAACTAGTGCAGTCATTAAGTGCTAAGGGACTATCAAATCCGAGTTACAAAATTCTGGACTTCCACAAAGATCTATCTGCTACCATTTTGCAGCAAACTCTTGTGGCCCCAAATCCTGATCAGTCATGCCCTGCCTTCTGAGATTAAAGCAAGTATCCCTCTTTCCACTTTCATATCCTTCTGGACTTCAATGCTTTTAAAAGGTGAAAAGTTAGATTGTCTAGCACAACACTCAGAATTCTCCAGCCAGCCTTGTTGAAGTCCACACCTCTTAAAGTGGCTAAGGTAGAGAAGTACTGATGTAACATGGTAAACTGAGCATATGGGCTATACAAGTAGTCCTTGACTTATAACAGTTCATTCAAAGTAACAATGGCACTGAAAAAAGTGACTTATGACCATTTTTCACACTGCAGCGTCCCCATAGTCATGTGATCAAAACTCAGATACTTGGCAAGAGATTCATATTTATGACGGTTGCAGTGTCCCCAGATCATGTGATCACTTTTTGTAATCTTCTGACCAGCAAAAGCAAGATTCACTTAACAACTTTGTTACTAATTTAACCACTGCAATGATTCACTTAACAATTGTGGCAAGAAAGCTGGGGCAAAACTCACTTAACAAATGTCTCACTTAGCAACAGAAATTTTGGGCTCAATTGTGGTCGTAAGTTGAGGACCACGGGTACATAGAAGTCAAGGTTTTTGCAAATATTTTGATGCTTTTTTTCTTTCCCAACCCCTCCCTCTCTCTTTCTCTCTCTCTCTCCACTGAGCTTGATGCAGAGCTTTGTGGAACCCCAAAGCTGACACCTATCATCCATTCTTTGTGTGCAGAATGTTGAGTGTTCCTTTTGTTCTGGAACACTCAACATTCTGCACACAGTTGTCTGGAACTGGGCAAAGCCGGCTGTCAGGCTGAATGTACTAAGCAAGGAAATGCACATACAGACAGTGGCATGGGCTGGAAGGAGGCACGGGGGTCGAAAACCACCCGGTGAGAGGCTGGCAGGGCATCTGCAGAGTTTGGATTCATGCCTTTGTCCAGAGGCATACTAATGAGCAGGCAACAAAGTTATAGAGGCCCATAGATCATATTATGGAATGGCTTGCTTCCCTGCACTTCATTTATTTGGAGACTGCTTGCAGGCTGGCACTTTGCCAGCAGCCACCAAATCCAAGTCTACAGAAATCAATCTCTCGCTGACTGATTAAGCCGTGTTTAGAACTAATTGCTCCTTCGTGTGTGGGGAGAATAAATTATGGGCTTTCATCTTGGCATCTTTAAAATGCAATAGCAGGTAGGACCTCGCTGTTAACTCTTTCCATCCCACAGTGTGGGAGACGAGGCTTGCCAACTTGGAAACCCTTGACGAAGAAGAAGAAGAAGAAGAAGAAGAAGAAGAAGAAGAAGAAGAAGAAGAAGAAGAAGAAGAAGAAGAAGAAGAAGAAGAAGAAGAAGAAGAAGGAAGAAGAAGAAGAAGAAGAAGAAGAAGAAGAAGAAGAAGAAGAAGAAGAAGAAGAAGAAGAAGAAGAAGAAGAAGAAGAAGAAGAAGAAGAAGAAGAAGAAGAAGGGAAAGCACTCGGGAGATCAGAGAGCATCATCTCATGTGAATGCCTTCACTTTTCATCCCTTCAGCTGCAGCAGGGGACAAGAGAGATATGCTTTTGGGGGCACTCAGAAAGTGCGCCTGTCCCTTGTACAAATGCTAGCTGGCTTTACTATTCTCCCCAGGAAGAGCAGCTCTTCTGGGTATCTCAAAAATGTATGGCAGGTAACAAGGAAGATTAATGAATCACTTCCCCCAGTGATGTTGCTGCGGGGCCTCATCAGCCACAATATTCCAGCTGGCAGGATTCAGGAGAAGAGCCTTTTCTGGCTTTGCGCCTGCCCTTTGCAACATCTCCTCCCCCCCACCAATGTTGACTCCAACCCTCCTGACCTTCCATAAGAGCTTAAAGACCTGGCTCTGCCAGTTAACTTGGGGGCTCCAACAGAGGGGTTCACATTGGGGGGTGATTGATAGACTAGCAACAGATCCCACCCTCTCCCCTTCTCATCATACTCCCTCCCCATCTTTTTTGGCTAGGTTAATTTTTTTTAATAGTATTGCAATTATATCATTAGGTTTTATATAGTTTTATCTTTTAATATTGTAAGCCGCTCAGAGTTACTGTGTGGTAAGATGGACAGCTAATAAATTTTACAAATAAATAAATTACTGGAGGCAGGGTTCCAGGGTTTTAGGCAGAGACCTTTTGATGTTCTGCTCCCCCATCCATCCCACAGACATATGGAGTGCTCTCTCTCTCCCTCCCCCTCTCCCACTCACTCACTCACTCACTCACTCACTCACTCACTCCCCCCCTCTCTCTCTCATGAGCTGGGCTCTGAACTCAGGCACTAAGCTCAGATACCTGCCTAATAAATTCACCAGCCTGATGCATGCTTCAAACCTCTCCATTTTAAACAGTAGCTAAATTCTCCTGTTTGAAGTTCTCTTCCTGGCTCCAATGCCATGCGTGCCTTGAAAGTCTAGCTGCAATTAAGCCCTGCTTCTCCCAGGGCATCTGGGAATTCTGGTGAATTCTGCAGTACCGCTGCAACTGAAGGGCACCGGGTTGCAAAAGGCCTTTCCCCAACATGATCCAGAGGAGCAAAGCAGTTTTAAACCCAACCAGAGTGTGAACCAGATCAAGGTTAATTGCCTGTCTTTAAAAATAAGAGTGTCCTTGTTTTGAACTTGTTGCCTTTGAAAAAGACTAGGAGGGACATGGTTGAGGGAAGTAGAAGAATGGTAAGACAACATGTAAGATGGAGAGGGTGGATCAAAGAAATTACAAGCCGTCCTTGAAAAAACAATGAGCTATTATCAAAGGGTCAACATTCATTCATGTGAGAATTGAGCCTGTCTCAGTCATAAACCTGCACAGATCACCTTCTCCCATTCTTTCCCTTGAGCTTTATTGTATTTCTTATTCTATTTCAACAGCAGTAGTGGTGGCAAAACTCTGCAGGCAGTCCTCATCTTACAATCATCTGTTTAGCAACCATTCAAAGTGACAAAGGCACTGAAAAAAAGTTGCTTACAACCTCTCTTTGCATTTATGATTGTCGTAGCTTCCCCACCAACACATGAGTACAATTCAGACACTTGACAACCAGCCTTCATTTATGAAGGTTGCACTGTCCCTGATTGTTACTTGTGACCTTCCCAGCCAGTGATGGGATTCAGCCAGTTCATACCACTTTGACAGAACCGGTAGCTAATTTTTTGTTGCCCAGGCCCAGAATGGACTTCCGGAAGCTGCATCCACACAGAGAA